AGCAATTTGCAAAGCTTACAATAAATTTAAAGTCAATCGTAGAATGACACATGACTACTACAAAAACATTATTCGTGTAAAGGAGCAGACGAATAGGTGATTCTATGGAAAGTGTGTTGAGACATCTATTTATAAATGATCTTTGTGAAGATAGACTGAGCTCATTTTTATCATAACTAGCCAATTTCTTAAAAACGTTGTCAATGAACTGTTTAGAAAGCATCTCTTCGCTTTCCTCTTCAACTTCTATCTTTCTGATTTCTAGCAAATCTTGTAGCTTGAGGGATTTGGACAAGTCATTATAAATCCGTAATCTTTGCAACGATTGATTTCCATTAACATCGATCAACAGTCTTGTTGCCAGAGATAAAAGATTGGTGACATCTCTTTGCCAGGTGTGAAGCATCTGCTCAGGCGCCGACTTATCATTAATTGAATAAATCCTATTCATGAAAACATTAACCACTTCCTCCAATAGATATGCTTCGAAATCAAGATTCCTGATTTCATCATTTTTCATGGAAGTTATTGTTTTTATGACCTCCGGACACATTTCCATCATTTGCAGTTCGGCAAGCACAGATTCGGATTTGCCCCACCAAAAGACGTGGAGTCTGACCGGGTTGGGAATTTGCTGACCTAGATGATATAAGATAATCCATCTCAATAGTTCTCCATCCTTATTATATTTTCCAAATTTGGGCAAAGCAACTGTGACAAAGTCTTTAAAATAAATTTCAGGCTCCTCAAAGAGCTTCGGTGATTTCAATAAAGGAATTACGGAACAGACATTCTCGGTAAACCTTTCAATGCAACTCTCGATGACATCGATCCTTAGCTCACCCATTTCGTCATAATTATTTTCGTCGTCTTCCAAAACTGACAGATCTTCCTGATACAACTTCTTGAATTTATTTATCTGATCCATGTAATACGTTGAAAATGGAAATCGAGTGTTATGATTTCTTGCGGGTATCTGATATAAATCAGGCTTTGAATCCAGCAAATATTCTATGTTGACAATTTTGGAATCCATGAATACTTTTTTCCAGAATTCAAATAGTTCATCCGACGGTGGGTCGTAAGCGTATAAGTCATCGAAATGCATCTGGTCATTTTTAATGAATAACGGAGAAAGCCCAGACATTCGTTCCAGAACACAAAGCAGCTTTGAGATAGGTTTTCGAACTTGATTACGAATATATGTTTGCAACGACACGGAGAATGAAGAATACAAATACAGGTCTTTTTTGTTTGAGGCAACCTGCAAAAGCCAATCTTCTGGAACATTTTCACCGAGCCACTCGAGGGTTCTAACTCTTAGGCAATCAAGAAACTCTTCATGTTTTGGAATTTCCTGGACCAGCAATCTGGGTAAATAAAGAAGATCTCGGTGAGACAATGGCATATGAAAAACGGTAAGCGACAATTTGAAACCTTACTCACTTTATATAGTCAACGGATTCAGGAGTCGAGGGAAATTTCATGCAGAGTAGACACCATAGTAATTCTTGAGAGATGATTTCTTTAAACGGATACACATGCTCAAGAATCTCATTTAAGCTGTTATCAAGATAGGCGGTCAATGTTTGCCCTTGAGAGGTTAGGTTTTCTATGGTCACAAGCTTCCATCCGCACATAAAATTAAAAGACGTTGTTGTAGCCTCGTTCTCTCGCATCATATGAAGAATGATGCAAACATGCTTCACGATTGGATTCTCGTCAGAAATCATGAATTCTTTTTGCAGTTGCTCGATGATGAATTTCGCAAGCTTGATGCATCCGGCACTCACTGCTGTCAAATCACATTGCAATATCAACATATCCGCATTCGATTCAAACCAAAAGTGCTTGATCCTGGCAGTAAGTTGAGCTTCGGATTTAAAAGTCGAGATTTTATCAACCTGGCATGTTAGGATTTCACTTAAGCACGATGCAATGTCGGTATTTATGTTCGAAAAGGTATTAATGACCGTTTTAAATCCTTGACCTTTCATCAAATTTTCATCTAACAACGATCGAATATATGTGGCTATATTGTCATGATGTTGTTCATGGAAGTAAACATTTTTCCAACGTTCAATTTCCTCGATATCGACAGATAATCCAGAATTCCTTGATCTTATGATACCATCTGCTGATGCAATATTTATAAGCATTTCTTTACAACTGACTAATATTTCCTCATCTGCCAAATCGGTAGTTGTACAATTGTGAATAACCAAGCTCTGCAACGTTTCTTCGGGATCGAATCCAACGAATGTGTCACGTTCTTTGAATTCTGATTTTGCGAAATTGCCTTTTTTAACAAAATTTGATATTTGTTTGCACCAAGTCGATAGCTCTTTGACAAGTCGGCTCATTCTATCATCCAAGGTATCATTAATTGACATTTTTTGTTTTTCAAATCGATTAAGGAGCGGTGGATCGGCGAAATCCACTTTCTTCTCATCAAGTACCAGGATACACCTAAAATTCTCGTGCACACAAACCATCGGATTCGAATAGGCTCCTAGTGCAACTCGCGTATAAAACTTTTGATTATCGTCTCTGCCCACGGTAATGTAATTTTGATTCCACAGATCATAGAGACTCCCTAAAGTCGAAACACATTAAATAAGCATCTGGATTGTTTGAACTGGACATGAAACAATTTCGCAATTACCATAGATAATTTCGAGATCAGTTAAAATCAGAGGTCTGCCAGCTTCAACACACATCTACAAAAAAATAGCAACAAAATATGTATAAAAAATCATGAATCTTTTTGGCGAAAATTTTTCAAAACTTACCATGATTCTACTTAAAACACTGTATTGATAATCATCGTCGAAATCATTAGGAAATTGACTGCCATAAATGACGACAGGTTCCATATCCCAAGCAGAAGATCTGGTGATTTTGGAAGCACCCAAAAAATCACGCTTTCTTGACAGCTCATTGCTCCAATGTTGGAGTTTGTAAGTTAACAGATTGACAATGGAATCACTTTTTCCAATAATCATAAGATGCCTTGCCCCATTGTCTTCTAAATTTGCTTTGATGAGTTCTTCCGCCGAAAAATTCTTAAATTTCATGGTCTTTCCGTGAAAAGCTTTTATGACTGAGCCGAAATGCTTTTCGCATAATTGATCCACATTGTTCGTCCCACCAAAATTTCTTGCCAACGCCATCTGTGTGGATTCCGGATTGTCCTGTTATTAAATAAATTAAACGGTTGAGTATTATTATCATCATTTTATGAAAAGTAAAAAAATAAAATTACTTCGCTGGAACTGAGACTTTTAACAAGGGAATAATAATCGCGAAGACCATGAAAGTTCTTTATCGGCTGTTTTTTTTCGTATTCCAAATAGGAATCGGATAGTGCGTGTAAAATCTTATTGTTGCCACCAAAGATTCGGAGGCTCTTGCTTTTTATTAATAATCGATGGGCTGTATCTTCAAGGTCTTTCCCCTCAAATTTTGGCCTAGGATTTAAAAAAAAATCAATATACATACGCGTAATCAAATACAGCAATATCACCACTAACCTTTGTATCAACAGAGCTCTGCTTGATTTTGAATTATCAAGTCTCCAATTACTTATTCCAATAACGGAAACATTGGGAAATTCTTGTGGGTAACTTGGTTCGAGTAATGAATGCAGGACTTTTAGCGGATTGTGTGGAGAAGTCTCAGCCAGGCCAACTGATCAAAAAGATTTAAGTTTTTTTTTAGAACGTGGATATTCAATGTCAGTTTGTAAATTCCAGATTACCTTCATCAAGTAAGACAACGGTAATCAATGGAAAATCTTTTGAGTTGGTTTTTTGATATTCTTCCGCTTTCTTAAATACTTTCACTACACCATCCGAAGTTGAAGAAGATGAACCTTGGTAAGGAATAACATATACCTATAGGGCGCGAAAAATTATCGTTAGTTAAAGATGTCAATGATTACATCGCTCATTTATAATTTAAGATACCTGCGGTAGTGTTCTAAAATAAGAATCATCGGAATCTCCACCACGGAGATTTTGTGAAACCAAACGAATGGCAAGTGATTTCGATGCACTAGTTCAATTAAAGTATAATGATTATGTATGAATGATACGAATTCGAAGGTAATAAACAAATAAACGAAGATATCTCTTACCCTGGCGCGCCAATAACAAAGACAGGGATCTTGGTCAGTATACAAACGATCATCACCAGTACATTTTCTAACAAAGCTTCGTTTTCTGCAACTTGCGGTGGTTTACTCATCCTAGCCATAAAATCTTCCTGCTCATCACGAATAATGTTTTTGTAGTAGTCATGTGTCATTCTACGATTGACTTTAAATTTATTGTAAGCTTTGCAAATTGCT